TTCAAACTCGAAATTCCTCTTTTTCCACTTGGACTCGAATCTTTATTTCCCACTATTTCGGAAAAATTCTTAAAAATCTGCGTGAATCTTTCAAAACTGTCCGTGAAGAATTAAAACAGAAAATTCAAGTTCGCAGAATTGCAATTTGCATTTCCTTTCGAACATTAAAGGAACAATAATTTTCCAACTCGATCAGAGCTGAAAGGGTTGAAACGACGTGAGGTCATGAATATTGGAAACACGAATTCGATGAAAAATCGAAAATGTAGTGGAGCAGCTCCGCGAGTTTACCACCAGCCCGACAGTTATTCGTCAAATGAATCCAAACACCGACTCCACTTAAAAACGTGTAATCTTCTAACGGATCCGAAACCGATCGTCACCGTCCCAGATAAAGATCAGCCCAATTTGACACCTGGTGTCGAATCGTAGCTGCGATCGAGCAAGCCGGCAGCCAACTTCCGGCGGGGAACGATGGTCCCGCGTGTAGCGTGTACGTGCGCGGGTAAGCCGCAGCGTGAATTCGAAAGCGGCTCGGGACTCGGGCCGGCCAAGGTGTAGAGAGACTCCGGTTAGAGAGGATGCTCGTAGTTACCTTCTAATGAGCGAGCCAATTCCCTTACGTGACGAGCATTCGCCACTGGGCCTTGTAGGGAACCAGACAAAGAGAGAGAGAGAGAGAGAGAGAGAGAGAGAGAGAGAAAGATTGAAAGCTTGCTCAGTCGAGAGAGAGAGAGAGAAAAAAAAAGAAAAAGTCACGACGACTTTGGATGCGTGGCTGGGGCCAGGCCTCGTCTGGCGGAGGAGGCTCGCTCGCAATTACGCGTACTTTGTTTTCGAATACAATTTGTTGTCATTGCAGCGCCAGAGCCAGAACCAGAGCCAGGCAACGCTCGTTTGTTCGTCCCTGGTCGGTTGGTTTTTGCTCGTGTTTGCTTTACTCCAGCCTCTGCCTCCGCCTCCGAACGCTTTTATTCCCTCTTTCGCCGAGTGGCGATACACGCTTCCTCTCCCCCTCGACCGTTTCTCTCTCTCTCTCTCTCTCTCTTTCGCCGACCGTTGTGTCGCGTTTATCGATCGGCGCGGTGCACGCGACAACCGAAGCACGCGACCGCGTCCGTCGCGCGGACCCACGCGACTTTGACGTAAGGAAAACGAACGAAATCGCGAGTTCGTTGACTCACTTGCCAAGGCAACGTCTCTCACGCCTCTCTTGGGCGAGGGTGTCGCCAGCGAGGAATGGGTGTCCTTGGGTGTTGGCGACCGGGGTGTTTCGAGGATTGCTGGAGGGTGGAGCGAACGGAGGGGTTGATAACTTGAGAATTTATTATCGCCAGGCAACTGGAACTGTATATGGCGGTGAATAGGAAAAAGGGTGACTTCTAGATATGTAGATAGTAGACAGACACGTTGAATCGTGAAAGGAAAGTCTTGTTATAATAAACGTGAAACGCTAGAAAAAGTTGATAGTTCCAAAGTTACAAATTTTGATTATTTAACCCTTTCGCTTCGGATATATCCGGATATATCCGGCATCCACGCGGCGACCTGTGAGTACGAGCGCCGGATATGTCCGGCATCTATACGAGGTAATAATAATAATCAATTAATAATAATTAATCCCATGAGGTTAACAGAGAGGCATTTTCCCTCATTGTATATACCGAAAGGTAAAAACCAAAGCCGAAGATGTGTAGTTTGTAGTAAAAATGATGAAAGACCCGATATGAGATCACGATATGCGTGTAAAAATTGTAATGTTGGTTTATGTATAGATCCTCCTTTTAGAATATATCAATATTCTAGAGAATTATATTACTAGTCTCTACATATTAATATATTAACTAATTTGCGCTACATTATTAATTATATTAAACATTTAATCGTAAAGTCTTGTAAATTATATAAATACCTAAAAATATGTAAACTCTAATTGGTCTAATGTTATTAGAATAACTAATATAATTTTGTACAAGTCTTTTCATATTGAAAATGTAAACTATACTTGTTATATTAGAGCAACGATTGTTTTATTAAGCATAGTTGTTATTTAAGACTTAGAAAAACCACGCGCACTGTGCACATTTCTGGCCTTGACAGCAAAAGGGTTTGTATTTATTTTTCAATACGACAATTTGCATTTCTAAAGCTTCCACCAATTTTGTCTTAATCCACTTATTCGATTGGCACATCACGAATTTCGAGCGAAACAACCAAGGTTGGTAATGTATGTACATATGTGTGTCGTGTGAATGTCGTGTATTGGGAGTAGTTAGGGAAAAGAGAAGAAGGACGAAGGCGAAGGAGCAGTGTGTCCAAAGTGAAAAGACTAAAGAAACAAAGTAATAAAGAAATAAAGTAATATATCAACGAAACAAAGACTAAAGAAATAAAGTAATATATCAACGTGACGCTTCCCTGAATCATTTTTCCAACGCTACTAAATACCAACAGCACGAAATGTGTCGCGCGAGGAGACCTGCAGAAACTGCAGGTGGTTTCGCAAGAGAAATGGTTACGCAGAACAATGAGCAATATCGTTAACGATAACTTGCTGCACAAGTAGCCGAATGTGAAGCAACAGGAGAGAGCTGTAACATCCGCGTTGAACACTAATCGCGACACGACAATGGTGAAAGGATACAACTGGTATCCAGATTTTTTTTTTTTTTCTTCGTCTCGACCGATTTATTATGATGTTACGAGTTCTATCGATCGTTTAATCCAATACAGGAATCCATCTTTAAATATTTTTGCAACGATGAATTCTTTATGACAATTCTAATTTCTCTCAATCTTATCGTAATCCTAATTTTTTTCCAAGAAACGCACCTCAAATTCATCTCTCTCTCTCTCTCTCTCTTTCTTCTGCCACGTTGAAAATAGCTTAGACGCGCGAGACTCTCGTCAAAGGCCACCTACGCTCTTTAAACATCAACGGCATTCCCTTCGCAATCTCTTTCTCCTTCGTTGCTGCGTCAAATCTCGCGAAGAGCAAAAGACACGAAGATTCGAGTTTCTCCCTCTTCTGGCCTGCGACGCTCGAACGTTCCATTCTTTTCACCTCGCTAGCGCCTGGAAGTCACCAGGGCCGAAGATTCATATATACAGGGTGATCACTGAAAGACTGAATGATATAAAACTAAAGTAACTTTCACAAACACGTGTTTTTCAAAATTTTTTATTATTTTATTTGGAAATATAATTAATGGATTTTCTTGAGCATTATGTGTAAAAAATAACATCTCTCAAATGACTACCATTTTCCTGCTCACAAAATGAACAAGTTATGACTTTTTCAAACCCTTCAGTGACCACCCTGTATATATATATATATATATATATATATATATATATATATATATATATATATATAAATCTAAGATGCTCGTTTTGTAGATGCTAGAGAGAAAGAACTCTTAAAACCTGCGCGAGACAAGTGTTTCTTACGACTCAAGTTTCTTCGACACGTCGCGAATACAATGCTATCACGATTGAGGAACGTTGGAACGAGAAAACTTCGACGTCGCGCCGTTGCAAAGATTACGTTACAAATGTTGCTTGTAATTTGTAACTAAAGCTTCAATGTCTGCGATTCGACCCGGTTCAAACTTGGATGATTTGGATGATAAATGAGCATGTCTGCGTTCGGATGAACAGAGATAAGTTTAGAGCAGTTTCTTATAAATTTGTTGGATAGTAGTAGGAAAACACGTAAGAAAGATTTATTTATGACTTTTAATTCGTTCACTTTCTTGTCATGCTTGCATTATATTCTCTCTAGCAGAATTGGGTAAAAAATTAATCAAAGATCAACGATTAAATTTTTCCAATGATCTTTAATTGCAATTAACGATTACATTTCAATTTTAGTTGTTAAAAATAAGCAATGAATAACACATTCACTACTTTTTTTCGTTAATTGCGATGAATGATTAAATGTCTTTCAATCATTAATTGGAATCAAAAATTAAATTTTTATTAATAATAATATTAATTTTATATTAAATAGATTAAGTTTTTTTGAATTTTAATCATTAGTTGGATATCTTATTAATAATTTACTGCTGGAATTCTTTTTGTAATGAAATAACGTTCAAATTTTTTAACGTTTTGTGCTTGTTCGCGGCTAGGGGAGACACGATGTAAAAATGTAAAGTGTATAAAGAAACAATGAAGTCTCTGTAAGTCCATGATCAGTAAAATAATATTAAACCCTTGTCTTACAATTTTTTACTGAGTCTTCAGTAAATTTTAGTTATAACATGTTGCATCGTGCCAGTTGTAAAACATTGAAAGCATTATTAATCTTCAATTTAAAGAATTAAAATTGAGAATTCAAATTCATATACTATAGGATTATAATTTCTTTTATCTTTCAAATTGAAAAACGACTAATTAATTCCTACTACGAGTGTAACTTAATATTTTAACTCAATGGATTAATGTCTATACAATGTCAAATACAACGAACTTAAGTTTTTTATTACTGCTAGTTTATTTAACAAATTTCGAAGGAATTCAAAATAAGTTAATAAGACTTGCAGCTAGAAATATGGGTCACTCTACACCACTCAACAGTTTAAATCAGGAATATGTTCTACTTCGATTAAATATCTTAATCTTAAAGAGTCGAAGTTTTTTTTTTATAAATTCAAAGTGCTAAACTTTGATTTATATGAAATTATGAACAAATTCAATGTAATAACTAACAATTCATAATTGATGATTAACACTATTAATTGATTAAATAAATCGCTAATTTTTCAATGATTAGTTGCCTTTAACTTTTTAACAATTAATTTTATTGATTAAATCAATCATCAAGTTTTCAATGATTAATTTTCTTTAATCAATGACAATTAATTTGATATATCGATTAAATCAATTGTCGATTTTTCAACGATTAATTTTATTAGCCAATAAACATTAATCAGCCAATTGTACTAAAAATTTTAATCGATTAATCCCTAACTCTGTTCTGTAGCTACATCCTGTACATTAGTATCGGCTCGTATGGAGACTCATATTTACTTACCGTTAGCATGAGCCGCAAGAAGATCCCTGAGCTGCTGTTGACCAGTGGTCAATTCTACGCAACTGACCCTGACACTAAATCTGGCACCAGTCCTTTGTCGCTGTTCGGATATCCCTCGGAAAAGCCAAGCAATTGCGCACGGAATCGCTCCTAGAGTGTGCCCTGCCTCTGGTGTACCCAGCATTGTGTGTGATTTGCCTGAAATAATGGAATAAAACTCAAATCACATACGTAAATGTTCGAAATTTTTATCAACGAGTAGAATTTTCAATAATATTTATAACATTTATTAGTAAACAAATCCCAATAAGATACAATAATAAATAAAAGAAAAAATATTGTTATATAATATTATATGTCACAATGTTGAAAGAACATTGGCAGTTTGCCTTTATTAGAACGAATAGCTCCAACCACAGTGGTTTTTATCGCTAATAATTTTATGGCCAATAATATGCTTGCAAAAAAATTATTTGTGATTTTTTCCGGTATTCAGCCTGTGAATGGTTCTACTATTTGAGAACAACAAATTCTCCAAGAGCAATTGAAGATTCTCTTCTTTTATCTTTTCTCAAACATGGGAACCCGTTTGTAATGTATTTGCTGTTTACATCAGTAGCTAACGAGAATTTAATGACAAATTAGCTAGTTTATTCGGCATGTAATGATAAATCCATATCTATTATTAGATCCTCTTTTTTAGAATTACAAAGTTGTACTGTTTCTTCTAATTTCGTGGTCTGCATTTACAAGTACAAACATTCTCATCACGCATTTATCATTTGTCGTCACCTTATCGTGGCTTCTTCAGATCGTATATCAAAGGCTGATTCTGCTTTCAGTCAAAATTATGCTTCGTTTAGAGATTGCCTTACACTTATAGCTATTGTGTACATTTAGATTTGGATGTTCTGAAAAAGTAACGTTACAAAAGAACTTAAATCTTTCAACCGGTCAAATGACGATAGACAAGACAAGTTATATTATATTTCCTAGAAAAATAAAAAAATAAAAAGAGGAATGAGTATTAAAAAATTCATTATATACGTATTATAAAAAAATCATGAAGTTAAATCACGATGTAATAACATTGTATAAAAATTTCAACGAAAGTTTAAAAGCGGCTATTTGACCAGTGGTAGGTGTAGTATTAAATAGAATGTAATATTTCGACGAACAAAAAATATTTTCATTTTGACAATTCAAATCACAAAATAAAATAATTATATTATACAATTCATTTTAATAATCTAAAACATAAAGTAAAATATTTTAATTTAGTAATCTAAAGCATAAAATGAAATATTTTAATCTTGCTTAAACTATTGGATCATCCCATAAGCAACGCGGTTTTTTCGATTCATTTTTTAATGTAAATATTAAAATTTTTATTTCGAGATATTGAACGAAATTTAGATAGGAACAAGTTGTAAATAATGGTAAAAAAAGGTTCCTGATAATGTCAAATATTTCTTTCTTTTACGTTTTAAAACTCTGAAAAACCGCAGTATTTATGAAATGATGTAATATTTTACTGGAAATAATCCAAAAAAGAAATAGTGCTTACATTTAATTAGTATTTTCATTTTTATACATAGAAAAATTATCCGGTTATATTACGATTTTCAGTAAACAGGGTATAAAGAGAGATTAGAGGACAATATAGTGAATTTTAAATCATTATTTTTCAATAATATTTAAAATAAAGAAAATAAATTAAAATATTTTCAATATTTTTCAAATAAAATACTATTTTCAAATTTAGGAGAGTTACTGTACCAAATATAATCAAGTAAAATATTTTACTTCCAAAATTTAAATTGTACGCATAGCTTAAAATAAATAGGATTATTTATTATTCATACTATTCAAAATAGTATTTTATCCAGCTCTGTTATATAATAGTTGGATATTATTTGATATAGAAGAATAGTTGCGAATAACATATGATATTTCGATATTCATTTTGTAGGTGATAAATCTAAAAATCTTATATCATACTTTTATTAAAAGCGTTACATATTGGAGCATGATAGGAGATTAAATAACGCATAACTGCAAATTACGGTTTAACAAGTGAATGATAAAATTAAATTGTATATATTTGAATGATGTACGTTTGAATCATTAAACTGTATGTTTGACAATACTGGACGTTCAAACGCTTAATGAATCCAAGTATTTCCAAAATTTATGAACATAATATTGAGTAATATTTTGAAAAATCGAAAAAGTCGATCGAGATTGCCGACTAAATTCTTTTAAGGTATAATTTAATAAATTCTAATTAAAAGCAATTATGTAGATTCATTTTGAGATAAATGTTATTCTTCACAGTTTTTCCGTGAAGCTCCCACTTTTCTTCTATTTCTTCTAAAAATAATATTCATATTTATCTAAACCCTTTCATTCAAGCAATCACATCAGCTACATATGTATTTTTCAACATCGTTGCATTTCCTCGTTTTCACTGACTGCATGCGTTTCAGTATCCACCGTCGATCATCTTTAAAAATACATTGTCGCTAATGTAAATACATTGGTGCATGTTATCATTCATAAATTCGTCGATTAAAGCGGTTCTTTGGCTAACTTGAATGAAAAGCAGAGCCGTGGAAAGCGTCATCCTGATTAAATCGCCACCACGGAACAAACAACGGAGCTCGGGATTGATTTTCCTCGCTTTTCGTTCAACCACGTGGGAGGATCGATTCGCACAGTTGCCCTTTGAAAATCCACCGCCGATGTGCAACTGCAAATCTGCAGATCGATGTTGAGCGCAACAATCGCGACGCCTGGTTTGTGGTCCCGGTCGGCGACAATTAATTTGTTTACTATTTACCGGGACGCCATGAGAAACGTGAGCACGATAAACGCTCCATCATAGTTACGACGCGTAACGAGACCCGTCAGCGACGATCTAATTTATACCGGGAATAGATTGAAACCGATTAATTCGGTTACCATTACAAGTCCACAGCTTTCACCAACGACAGGTGAAACGAATGTGATCGAAAATGGCGGGAACGTTATGAGTTCAAACAGCCGTTGTTATTTGTGGAAGAACCATAAAAGGAATAATTCGAATTTTTTCAACGAAAGAACACGTATCATTGTTAGAAGACCAACCCGGACAATAATGAATCTATGCAATTGCATCTATTGAATCTATACTGACAATAAGCTAGCAACAGTTCACAAAAGTGGACTGTGAATAGTTAGTCATAAGGGTAAGATCCAATAATTGATCATCTATGTTCCTTCCCGTTCCACTTGACGATGATAACCAAATATATATAAAGACGTGCTTTAGAGACATTCGATAGCCTAAAACATTCTACATCATTATAGAGACATTCTATATCATTAAAAGCATCAAACATTCTAAATCATTCTACATCATATTCAAAAGCATTAGACATTCATCACATTCTAAATCAATGTAAATCATTCTATTTCATACACGACCACGACTGTAAGGGAATAAACTCTTCTAAATTGTAAGCGTGTTGACTCCAACATCATAACGAGTAGAGAAAGTTTTTTTTTTTAGTAGCTCGCAGATTCTGTGCAAATAAAGGAATGTGTCGAAATTTTGCACATATTGCTTTTAAATATATGCATGATATTATATAAATTTATATTGCTTCTAATATATATAATGTAGGAACCGCGGCTTGAGACTCCAATTTATAGGAATTTTGTTAAAGGATAGTTGTTTATTTAAGGTTAAATAAAAGAAAATTTGTTTAATGATGATTATAGTGATTAAAGTGACGTTTTACACTATTTTCTTAATTGCTAAACTCGCTAGACTCGCAACTCTCAACTCACTCTCTTCTCTCTCTCGCGCAACTCTCAACTCACTGTCTTCTCTCTTTCACTCACGCTCGCTCACTCTGCTCTCTCTGACATCTCGACACTCATTCTGTTCTCTCTGGCTTTTCGACACTCATTCTGTTCTCTCTGGCTTCTCACTGCCTTCTTCATCTGCCCAAAAATTCGTCATTCATACACATACACACAGACGCATCCATATCCTTAACATCTTAAGCTCTAGGCCTGGAGGGCCATAAACAATCTCAAGTCGCAGGCTTAACTTTCTCTACTGTTTATGCTACACCACTTGGCGTATCTGCAATCGTCGGGCACTGGAGCAAATTATGGGCCCTTTCCCAGAATTCATCCATTCCACAATAATATATATTATAATTGTTTAATAATATAATGCATATTGCTTTTAATACCTATGTATTTATAATGTGTGTAAATAGATAGTATTGTGGCTGACCCATCTGTCATCACCGCGATTTTATATATTGTCAAATATGCGATCTTTTCATATTGAGGATCCATTTCCTTGTTCAGTATGGGATAGTGGGTAATTATAATAAAGAGCAACATTTTGTAATAATGAAAATTTTAATTATAATCATATTTTTTTATTGAAATGATTTTTTAATTCTTTTTTATGTGAAGATTGGTAGTATATCGGTAGTGTATTAATAATAAAATCATTTCAAGCTTTATACTCGAAAGTTATAAAATGAATATGCTTTGTAAATTTGCATTTTCTTATTTCTAGCAGCATTTATCATGTTCGAATTCTATTATTTATGTAATTTATGTAATTAAATATTCTATAGTAGTCAATAAGTTTACATATATATATATTTGAGCATATTAGAGACAGATTATTTCCCCATAATAGGCACAAAATATATCATGCAAAATATTTTATTATTCTTGTAATTAAACTTCATCCAAGAGTTTAGAAGCATCACGATAATAAAAGCGAAATAATCATTTTAAAGATATAATTCATCATATCTTTGAAAAAATATGATGAAATACAACAAAGCGTAAAATATACTTTAATGATAATCGGTATGTATTTGATTCCTCACATAAAAACAAATGATGATGTTAATCATAATGTTTGTGGACAGAGTGCACTACTTATCTTATAAGATTTTAGATCTCCCCATATCGAAAAGTCTTTTCATATGAAGCGTCTTTATTTGTTTATTTGGCATAATCAGTGATTCATATGAGATTCTAATCATTTTCATTAAATTTTCTTCTCCCATCTCCTTCTCCCGATGTCTATAGAATCTGTTAAGTCACCACCAGACTTTGTCAGAATAGTATTCTTTTCCCGTGAAGGGTGAAACTTTGGAATTTTGCACGAAAAGGCA